CTATTATTGTAAAAGTAGAAGTAAATATGCGAAAATAGAAAGAAAAAAATGAGTTTAATTCAAAAGAAAGAAAGAAACAAGTGAATATAGTAAAAGAAGAAAATCAGCAAAAAAAAAAAGGGAAAGATAGAATGATGTATGAGAGGAGATAGATAAGAATAGATTGAAATAAACAGAGAATAAGATGGTAGCAATATATATATATATATATATATATATATATATATGTATGAAAGATTGCGGTAACTAGCTAGAAAGATCGATAACATAGACATTGAGTTGAAGAAAGATAAACATATTACCATAAATCCGTTAGCTTAGTTGGATCCTTGTTATGGCCGGAGAAACGGCTGGACACTCGGACCTGAAAATTATTCTATAATAGTAACTTGAAACGTAGAAGATTATAATGTTTGTGTTCCTGATATTCGCTTGTTAATTTTGAGATAAAAGTTAAATTTCCGGTCTGTCTCCATGTTACATCGCATAAAACAGAAGCGCCCCCTATCGGTGTCTATGTAAAAGTTATCCGTAAAAAAAAAAAAAAAAAAAATACGTATTCACTTCGTACTAAAGGCCTTGGGGAAGGCATGAACAAGAATAAATCGTGCGACAGACACTGCAAAAAGATTTTATTAACATACAGTAATTATGTAGACTTACATCGTGCTTCTAAAAGCCTTTTCCTACAAAATTAAATAAACATGTAAGAATAACAATTAATATTAGGTCTTATGTTTGAATATGTTTAGGTCTTCTTGAGTATTGAAAAACATTTTTTTTTTAATAATTTCTGATAAATTTCTGTCTACTTCAATAAATTGCCAAATCATACTTGGATACACCATTACATTTGTCGCGGTAATTTTTCCCTAGCATTGTTAAAAGACATGTCTAAGCATCGGTTTTCATGACATGTAATAATAACCCACCCACTGACTGTATTTTTATGTATTAAGTGATGTTTATTGGTTAATCTAGACATACCCACAAGTATATTTCTAATCCTGACCTTATCCTCCATTTTAACTTACGAAAAAAGGTTTTAAAATTTCGCTAATATATCATTTTTTGTATCATTAGTTAGCTATCATCGCCTGATGAGGCACAATCTCAGTACCGAAACATGAAAGTCTTTGTGTAGCGATGTAAAATGTTTTTTTTTGTAATTTATTATAATAAAAATATTATAATATTTTGCTCTACTTTGTATTGAGCACTTTAAAAAATACTTCAAACTGTGGATTTATACCCCATCAATTCTTTCTCTCATTTGGTTATATATATATATATATATATATATATATATATGCGTGTGTGTGTGTGCCGACGACATATCAATCAAATTGATGCCTTCCACATGTGTTGACTACGTTCGATCTGCGGCATAAAAACTTCTTGATCGAATAAGAAACAGTGAAGTTCTGACTAAATGCAATATGGCGGGTATTGAAGCCATTCTCATGAAAATCCAATCCAACTCGCTCTCACATTGGTTGCTGACCTGAGATGGAACAAATGGATTGAATCAATAGCTTCGTCCACCGCAAGGAAAGTTGGCTCACTCTGTCGCGCCAGGAAAATTTAATGAATTTAAGAGTTCAACTAGGCTGGCATCTCGATCACACTCCTTCACTGTCGAAACTGTTAAATGTAACCGTCTCTTCTACTCCAAAAACTTCATCATCAGCATTCTTCTGCAGAACCACATTTCTGTTTCTTCAAGTCTCTCGTTCATCTTTGAGAAAATTGTTCGGCTCTCATTGTCACAAAGGAGTACATATATCACGTAATAGGTTAGCACTCTTTTCCTTGCTCCTAACGAAATTCGTCTATTTCTCAGTACTGGGCTTAGCATTTGGTACGGACCCTAAATAAATGTAGGGTGATGTGAAGAAACTACTTTTTTTTTAATTTAAAGAAAAGAATATTTTCTAAAAAATTCGCTATGAAAGTTTTTTAGTCTTAATATTTTGAGATGGTGTCTGAGAAAATATTTTCCTAACCTCAGAAGCCATGACGGCTAATTTCTTGTATGCATAATATTCCCTTTCAGATATGTGTATTCAATCAAACATATTTATTTGATATATATATATATATATATATATATATATATATATATATATATATATATATATATCGTAAAAGGTAACAAATCCGTATTATAAAATGTTAAAACTGATCCACGAAGATCAATATATTTACTATTACAGACCAAATAATTAATACACAATAAAATCCCAAATTATCTATGAGGTGACTTTGGATTTTATTGTGTATTAATGATATATATATATATATATATATATATATATATATATATATATATATATATCAAACATGTTTCGTTGAATAATACAGGCATAATAGGTCGATTTTCTTTTATAATAACCCTTTCTAGTTTCTTGTTGTTACGATAAAATTCATCAAGGAAGGCACCGTACTTTTTTCTTACCCAGGTACTTTCGATCGCCTCCGAGACCATCCTCAGTGGTGAATTACAAATTCAATCTTATCGGATCCAACTCGGGTCTCCGATTCCTCAATCCGAGTTGCTATCCATTACTCATCGTACCTCCATCATATTACGATGATTGACCCGAGTTTGAATTACTGTTGGATCCACTGCATTCATTTACGCGCTAATACCATTGGCAGAGGTGTGAATCCTCTTCTTCTTGTTTTTTAAAAACAGTGGCTGCTGTTCTTATTAATACAACGCTCTTCAATTATGAACCCTCTTGGCTTTTAGCGTTTGTATACATCACGCATATAATACATTCAAATCTCCCTTTCTCCCCCGGGCGTCGATAGTATTGAATTCAGCTAGATGTGAACGAATCTCTGATACTTTAGGTGTTGAGCATCTTACGTGCGAATATAATTCTCCTCTTCGTCCCCAAAAAGCTCAGTTGGTCTCAAGCCGGTCGGATGCAGTAACCGCACTAATCGTGATAAGTCACCGCAGGGCTACTAAAACCAATTCTAGGCAGATTCAACCCGATTATATGGTGCATTATCCCCCGCTCAAATAATTCATCATTGTTGGAGAGCATAGCGTATATGACTAGGTGTAAATAGTGCACGATACATGCACGGTTGCCGGTCCATAATGTGCTAAGTACACTAGTAGATCCAATTATTTTATACTATTGTTCACCAGATACAAGGCCCGAGAGCCACTCATGGTAGAGAGTTACTGAATTAGGTCACTGTAACGGCGCAACAAAAGAAGTAATATATGGGGCTATCAGGGATAGATAACGCTTGACCCTAGAATTGAATGAATTAAGATCACAGGGAACGATCTATAGAGCCTGTTCCTGATTTCTTGTCTCACTGGAACTTCCTCCTTACCAATGGTATATGTATGTGACATGGTGTGTCCAAACTGTAAAGGACTGAACTGGTGCAACTAAAAAGTGTAGCGCATTTGTCATAGAAAGAGTGCAAATAGTGTGAGATGCACCCACACCATTATGGAACCACACCAGTTCTGCTAAGTGCTTTGTGGCCAACAGAGATCATCACGTCAGTCTAAGTGACTGTTTCTACATGGGATACAGGTTCGATTCCTGTGAGAAATTTCACGAATATTCAAGACGGTAAATGTAATTAATACTGTTTAATTAAAAACAGAGCATTTACTCAAATAATATATATATATATATATATATATATATATATATATATATATATATATATATATATATATTATAATTTGGGCTGAAACATCTTCTGATCCAAATTCAAATCCAGGGGTTTCTCACTCCTGTTAAAGGAACCCCTACACTATTGACACTTTCTTCAGTTGTGTGGCATAGTCACCATTTTTGGCCAATTGCGGGCTGGTGAGGTTATTTAACCCATATTTGGAGGATTTTAATTTTGAATTGTTATTCTCCTAGACCAGTTGCCACACAACGCTATAGGCCCCAGTTTCTCCATCTCTCATAGCTATGTGAGGAGAGGATATGGATTTATATTTTCTCCAAGTATATATATATATATATATATATATATATATATATGTGTGTGTGTGTGTGTTTGTGTGTGTGGTCACAGAAACGAGATACCTAAGGTTTAAAAATGAATTTAAAAAAATGAAAAATCATTCTTGAAGCTTTTCTTTCGTATTTTGGTTGGTCAAAAGCAGGAAGAAGATGCAAAGTAAGAAAACAACAATAAAACTTGAATAAATAAAAAAAATTAATTACTATTTTTATATCAAATTCCTTCGTACAATAATTGGTTAAATCAAGAGTTCGCATGCAACAATTATCGATCTAACCCGTTTTTACTCGGACCTGACACTTTGTTGACTTGATAAATTTTGTTTTGCTGATTTGCTAAAGTTCGTTTTGCTGATTTGGTAAAGTTCGGCACAAGGCTGAAGTCGGGGGTTCTCGTCAGCACATAATCACGTGAGGTGTATCGGAACTGGTGACTGGAACGAACTCTCTGCTTTTTTGCTGTTGTGGTGTCTTTCCTATAAAGAGTCTATGTTTGACTCTTCCGCCTACTATAAGATTAGTAGGAGAGAAGGCCTTAGGGGAACCGTCAAACAGATTGAACGATGGATCAACCGACACACATTCACTAGTCGTGTAATACTCTTTTGTTGTACTTACTGTTTAATATATGATATATCTGCAACATTGATTTTGTTATTTCTTAAGCATTTACTTGGTCACAACAATTGCTTCGAGGAATTCGTATTTATAGACGTTCGCCCAATCCGGCGTGGGGCACGGCGCAATTGGAGAATTTGGTGTTTCCCCCTGCCCACCATGTCCATTGTCTGGGTCCTGAGAATTAAACTACTTCATAATTTTGGGGAAATCCCTTCCGCTCCATAATATCCATCTCCTCCTATTATCATCTCCCACGAATCCTCTGCAATGAGTATGGATGGCTTCTCTAACTTGCTAGGTGAGTCATCTGTGATACGAAGATTCGATTTTGGCCGTCTTATGATCAAGCAAATTACAACGTGG